TATAGTCTGATGAGTTTAGTCCTGGAATGGACTTTGTAAAATTTGGGTGATGAATTGCTCTGATTACACATGGAGTGGTATTCCAAGGCAGAAAGCTGAAAATGAGCATTCCAGAAGGGATAAAACCATCTGAATATGATATTAGAAGATTTTATATTTCTAGGTAGTCTGGACTTCCTGAGTTACTTAAGAAACAATTTTCTTTCCATCAGGAAATATCTTAGTCAGGTCTCTTTTTGTTGCAAGTGAGAGAAATTAATGTAAACTTATTAAAGTAAAAGGAGACATTTTATAAGCAAGGCAGGATGGCCTGCTAGAGAAATTAGGTGTTTTCTCCTTCCTTCTCTAAAAGGCAAGCAAAAGGTTAGCTTCTCCATTTTGGAGGCCTGATATATCCATCCTTTGCTCTTGGAGAGAAGAGGATGTTTTAAAGTCGGTTTTATTGATATAATTTATATATAATAAAATTTATCAATATAAAAAGTACAGTTTGATGAACTTGACAAAGAGATACAGTCATGTAACCACCATCGCGATCATGATACAGAACATTTCTATCATCCCCAAGAGTCCCCATATGCCTCTATGCAATCAATCCCCTCTCCAACCTGGCTCCCTGATACCCCTGCTTTCTGTCATAGTTTTGCTTTGTGCAGAATTTAAATCTAAATGAATTGTGTAGAATTCATTTAAATGAATTCTATAGTATGTATTTGTTTGTGTCTGACTTCTTTCACTTAGTATAATTCTTTTCAGATCATCAATATTCTTGCATATTTCAGCAGCTCTGCCTTTTTATTGTTGAGTGGTATTCTATCATATACACATACAACGATTTCTTTATCTGTTCATGAGGTGATAGATATTTGGGTCATTTCTAGCTCTGAATAAAGTACATGCTTTTGTGTGGACTTATTTTTTCATTTCTCGTGGGTAATTACCTAGGATTGAGATTGTTGCTTCATTAAGTGCATATTTAATTTGATAAGAAACTGTCAAACTTTCCCAAAGTGGGTGTATCGTTTTGCATTGCCAGCAGCAATGTATGAGAGTTTCAGTTGTTCTACATCCTCGGTATTGTCGGTATTGTCAGTCTCTCATTTTAGCCTTTCTAGTGGGCATGTAGTGGTATCTCAATGTGTACCCCCTGCCTGAGTTTTATTGAGATATGATTGACGTGTAGTATTGTATTAGTTTAAGATGTATAACATAATGATTTGATATATGTATATATAATGTGAAATAATCATCACAATAAGTTTAGTTAAAATCCATCATTTCACATAGTTACTATTTTTTTCTGGTGATGAGAAGTTTTAAGATCTCCTCTTAGCAACTTTTGAAGGTATAATAACAGTATTACTAAAACAGTATTACTAACTATAGTCACCATGCTGTACATTACATTCCCAGAAGTATGTATCTTATAACTGGAAATTTGTACCTTTTGACCACATATAAAGAGGTCAATTTCACTCTGAAAGGTTTTGTCAATCTTTCAAGTTTCCAAAATATTTAGAACTCAGAAATACTGCTCTTCATATGAGATCACAAGGAACAGAAGACACTCTTACACTCAGGCCCACAGTGAAAAAACTAATAGTAAAACAAGTTGAAGTAACTAAACAATAAGATTTGAAAATCAGTTATTGAATATAGAACTGGAAGACTGTACTTCAGGAAAATGGAAAATGGGATGGCTGCAATTCCATGATAAGACCAGGCCCAACAGAAACTGTAATAACAACAGAGCTTAGCTATGAGAATTTTCCACAATGACAGAACTTTAAAAACATGCTTTTATATTAACTAAAGATATTCACAGTTGAAACTGCCAAAACTTGCTTAATACCATATCTCCCTTCTCAATATTTAAAATCCACAGGATACTCGGACCTCAGTGAACATTTGATGGTTGGAGCATAACTGAAACAGTCAGTTCAAAGGTTCTCCCTACATACTTTGATTTTAAGACAAAATAATCTGTAAACTCGGGACAATGTTGCTTTCTCTAGAAAAACCTGACTAACATTGATCTTTGTCAGTGTACACTTGGTTCTTAACTCTTACCAGTGGTCAGAAAAGGTAACATACTTGAATTTATCCAGTGTCAAACTATACAATCTAACACTCAATGTTTCCCAGACACTAGGCATATTAGATGTTAGCAATATAGTCTTTTATTTTGTCACATCTTAAAGAACTTTACATTTTCAGGTACATGTCGAAGATGCTCCCAGGTACTTCCTTCTTCTTGGAAAGTAAGCAAGAAAATAAAACTTTCTCTAAGGAGCAGCTTGATTCTTTTCAAAAACTGAAGATTTTGGAAGCTGGTGGCAACAGTTTCGTTTGCTCCTGTGACTTCCTGTCTTTCACACAGGGGCAGCAGGCCCTGGCCCAGGTCCTGATCGACTGGCCAGAAGAATACGTGTGTGACTCTCCATCCTCCGTGCGGGGCCAGCGGGTTCGGGACACCCGGCTCTCGCCTTCTGAATGCCACAGGGCAGCCGTGGTGTCTGCCATGTGCTGTGCCCTTTTCCTGTCGCTCCTGCTCGTGGGAGTTCTGTGCCACCGTTTCCACGGACTGTGGTACATGAAGATGATGTGGGCCTGGCTCCAGGCCAAGAGGAAGCCCAGGAAGGCTCCCCGCAGGGACATCTGCTATGACGCCTTTGTGTCCTACAGTGAACGGGATTCCTACTGGGTGGAGAACCCACCAGGAGCTGGAGCACTTCAGACCTCCCTTTAAGTTGTGTCTTCACAAGCGGGACTTCATTCCTGGCAAGTGGATTATCGACAATATCATTGACTCCATTGAAAAGAGCCACAAAACCATCTTTGTGCTTTCTGAGAACTTTGTGAAGAGTGAGTGGTGCAAGTACGAGCTGGACTTCTCCCATTTTCGTCTCTTTGATGAGAACGACGATGCTGCCATTCTCATTCTGCTGGAGCCCATTGAGAAAAAGGCCATCCCCAGCAGGAAGGGTTTCAGTTGAAGAACAATTCTAGTTTTTAAAAGAAAAATATCTATAAAATGAAATATTCTCAGGTTTCAAAATTCAGCTCTATGTTGATTCAGAGTTTTACTATTATGATTTTGCATAGGCACTAATAAATAGTATTCTTCAAAAGTTACAGATGTTATTGAAATCTCTTCAAAGTAGAAAAATTTTGAAGAATGAGCATTTGCGTACAACAATCTGTGTATTAGTGCAAGGATTACAGCAGATTTTCATTAAGTGATTTTTGACGGATATATTTATTATTTTCTCTATTACAAAATATTTTATGTGAACAAGACAGTGTTTTTTGATAACTTCATTTTAGAATTTCAGTCAGATTCTCAAAAAATAGATACCATGAGAGTTACTTTTTACCGAATTATCTTTTCATATTGTGTTCATGTTCTAACTTTTTTTTTTTTGAAATAAGCTGTGTAGGCAGTTAGAGGAGGTCTTATACTGAAAAGAAGCTAAGGCGTTTTGGAGTCTAACCTGGGATTTGCCACTTGGCTCTGAGCCATATGACTTGAGGCAAGTTCTTTAATCACTTGAACTGAACGCGTAATAATATCAGAACTATTTATTTCACATGTTATTATAAGACTCAGGTGAAAAGATTTATGTGAAAGTGCTTCGAAAACGTGAAGAACTGAACACGTATAAGGATGTGCCTTAGTAGAAGGTGCTAATAGCTTTGCTGAGAGTGTAGAGAAAAATACACTGCATGTAGATGACACTGGTAGTAAGTTGCGGGTAAATACATAATTTCTACTTAACTTTGTCAGAATATTCTAATCAAATTTGGGATTACAAAGCAATAACATCAGTCAATCTAGGCAGCTCAACTAGAAAAGATATATAGAGAAAGAACAGAGGTTTTCAGTTTCAGGGCAAAAAATTGGAAAGAAGTTTTCTGAAGGACACACGAGAAATCATGAGGAAGAGAGGGGAAGATTTTGAAGTAATAAGAAGAAAGTGTTTCAGACAGCTGGAGAGCCTGGATGGTCAGGGATGCAGAGAAATGTCCCCACGGTAATCAGTAAACTGTATAGAAAAACAGACTCCATCCCCTCAAGTTCATATTCATACCTATAGATTAAGTTTGCCTAAGGCTGGAGCCTTTGATGAAGACTAGGCATGTGGAATAGGGTAACACAAAGAACCCTGGGTTTAGGGTAAAATTCTGGTTTCAAATCTCAATTCTGGCACTTAGAATTTGCATGGCATTTCCTCCTGTGTCAAAGAGGAACTAGAATGCTTCTTCAGCCTCCAATCTCAATTTGGGAAGGTCAAATGTAATTATGAAAATAAAATATAGTTTGTGAATATTAAGGCAGCTTAATTTTGAAAAGGTAGCTAGTTTCCCTTACAAACATGTCTCACTAGTTTCTGTGGCAATGAAGAAAGCCAATCTAAGACTGTTCGTTTTGGGAATTACCCATTTTGAGAAACAGGGATGGAAACGCGCAAGGGAAGGACTTATGTTCAAAATCTTAGACATAAGGGGGAGCCCACATCTTTTCACGGTAAGAGCAGGGATGGGAGGTGGGTGCTAGGAAAAGTCAGCGCACCACCAGGGGACCGCCACAAGATTGAAATTTTTAAAAAATCTGGGCTGTCCTTATCTACTCTTCAGGCAAAATCTTGCTGCGTTGGTTTGGATAGTGACTGGTGAGTTATTTTAATGCAGGAGAGAATAGACTTGCGGGTGGAAGTGGACCCTGGAGATATACTGACCGGGAAATTGTGTTTAAAAGGTCGTGGTGGGGGTGGGAGGATGAGAGGCATGATTCGTGAGCCTGAATTTGGGCGTCCAAGGATGCAGAAGAATGGAGACGGCGTGTTTCAGGGCAGTAAGAGGCTTTGGGTGCCCGAGGCTTCAAGAAAATAGTGGTTGGGTAATAAGCCTTCTCGTTGGTTTCGAAATCTAACTCTGTGCTGGGGGAATCCCACGCGGAGGCCTTAAGCGTCTCCCCACACCCTGGCCCCAGCGCCCGCCTCCGACCCGGTCCGGGCACCAGGCGGCGGTGGGGTAGCACCTGGGTCACGGTCACCCGACGGAGCCCGCGGAAAGGGAAGCGGCGGCGGGCCCCAGGCCACAGGTGACAGGCGCGCTCCGCGGAACGGGTGGTCCCCGCACCCTGGAGAAGGGGGCGCCGGCCACACGCAGCGTCCCCGCGCACTCTTCCGGGGCGCGGGCAGGTCCGGGCCGGAGGCGGCAGAAGGCGCGGCCTGGCGGCAGCTGCGCGTTCTCCGGATACATCGGGCCGAAAATACGCTCGGCGGGCTTCCTCGTTCCGCAGCCCTTCCCGGACCGGGCGGGCAGGGTCCCAGGGTGGCCGAGGCGCGGACGCGGGCGCCGGGCATCCTCGCTTCCCAGTCGGCGGCAGCCGGGACCCCAGTCGTGCGGCGCGGCCCCGGGGAAGGGGGGAGTCCCCGGCCCCGAGGCCGTCGACGCTCCTGCAGCCCCGTCTGCTAGGCCCCGCACGGGAATGCGGACACCTGCCCCGCCGAGGTGAGAGAAGCGGGGACCTCACGGAAAGGGACGGGGGTGCGGCCGAGGTTCGCCCAGCCCTTGGCGTCCCGGTGCCCGCGGGCCTTGGCGGGGCCATCCAGCCTCCGATGGGGCGCCGCGGGGAGCTTCCGCGGGCTCCGCGCTGCGGCCGGCCGCGTTCCGGGAGGCGGGGTGGCCAGTGGCTCCAGTTCCCGAAGGGCAGCCCTCTCGCCGGCGGCTCAGGGCGCCCCGGTCGCCCCTGCCCCCTTCACTCGGAGCGGCGGTGACGAGGTTCAGGTAGAGGCTTTCAAGGTTGCATAGGTGCGTCCTGCTGGCGGTGCGTCTGCGCTCACTGCTTACCGCTGGGACCCAACTTCCAAAGGTGGGATTTCGGCCACCAGGGCTCAGCAATGGGACAGGGTCAGGACTCGGATCTGCCTAGGACTCTCGCTCCCCAACCCCGAGCCTGGTCTCTGCTCCGGGGGGGCTTCACGCCATTAAAACTTCGTCAACGTCTATAAATGACAACTTGTGTATGGAACTTGGATGTCAGCCAGGATAGTGTTTTTCCTGTTGGAAAAAAAAAAAAAAAAAAAAAGGGCGGGGAGAGAGAGAGAAATTGTTCAGGGTGTAAACAATTCAGCCGGGTGAGATGCTTGTAATCTTGCAGAAGGTCTTGTCTGCACTGTTACTAACTCAGATCTTTACCAAGAAGCAACTGGGAGATAGGATGGCTGACTTGAAAGTAGACACTAAAAAAAAAAAAGAAAAGAAAAGAAAAGAAAAAGGCAAATATCCTGACTTGATTACTTGAAAATGACTTATTCGCCAATATTTTAAGTTTCTTCTTCTTCCTGTTCTAAGCAGAGAACCTTTGTGTCTTCTTTAAACTTTTTATAATGTATCAATTTTATGAAAATGACCTGAAGTTGACAACATGTTTTGGAAGTTTCTAAGCCATCAGTTATTTTTTTTCATTGCTTAACTTAAGAATTTGGCTTGGTTGGTTAAATATCTTGTTTTGATTTCAGTGATTGAGCATAATTTATTGTATGTGGCACCTTGGGTGTGACCTCATAAAGATATTTTAGTAAATCTAAGTTGTACTTACTCCTCCCAAATAGGTTTGCTTGTCAAAAAAAATTTTTTTTTTATCTCCACAGTGTCATTTAAAATTTATATTACTTTTTCCTCATGCAGGAAACCCATGTCTGAGTTTCTGAGTGCTGTCTTTCTTATCTATCGTTACACCAAAAAAATCCACTTGTTGCTTCTTGTTGCCTACTCTTACCTGGTTGATTTTCCATGTGTTGAAGAACATATGTTTTGGGGTACTTCTTTCAATGAAGGTCTACAAATGTCTGAAAATGTCTTATCTTTACTCTTGGATGATTATTTAACTGGGTAGAGATGTCTAGACTAACAGGTATGTTTTCTCAGCCCTTTGAGGCTGTTATTCCATTGTTTGGGGGCTAGATGAGGAATTTCTATTCTTTGGGATTCAATATGCATTTATAATTTGTAAATTTATGTTTTTCTTCAGTTCTGAAAAATTCTTAGTTATTATATCTTTCAATATTTGGATCCACACGAGCATATGTGGCAGGCCTGGGTTTTGATTTCTTATGGGAGATTTCTAGGAGGCTAGCTTCTAGCCAGGTGGAGACCCTGGGTCAGAGGGCAGAGATTTTTGAGGCCCCTGTTCACATATGGCGTAGCCTTTTCTCTGTGCTTGGCTTTATGGAGAGCCCACTGTCACTTCTCTACCATGCGCTGGGCCATGAGTCCTTCTCTAGTCTGGCTTCACCCAGGCATCTCAGCCCTCGCCCTAAAGTGGGCGTCTGTTCCTGGTTTCACTCTGGGCCACAGGGCTTCAACTTCCTCTCAGCTAAGTCGCCTCTAACACCAGGCTTACTCCTCAGACTTCCATCCTATCCCGAGTCTTGGACTAATAATTCCTCACCACTCTGGCAACTTTCTGAATTCTTTAAGCAGATGATTTTTGTACTTTGTGCAGATCCACAGCCTTTATTAGATCTGACTCCACTCCATCTAACTTGAGCCATCGCCCTTCCCTTTCTCAGTGTCTTACACTGAGGACTTCTCTGCCCCCTCCTGTAGTGTATTGGGGAAATGGGAGGAGAGACAAGTAATTCTGACCTAAAGTGTCAAGCTGTTAACTGTAGTTTTAGCATCATCAATAATTATTATTTGTTGAAAACCTACCGTGTAATAGGTATCATATAATATGTATGTGAAATAGCCCAAGATCTCTGCTCTTATAAATTTTACGTTTTAAAGAGAAAAAGCCAAGAAAAATAAAAAATGAACATATTTGACCTTAAATCTTAGCCAAAAATTGGTATAGATTTCTTAAGATTTGTGCAATATGTTACGAAGTGGAAAAAATCAGGTAAATTTTGGTCCTCCAGTACAATTATACTAAGAGGATTTTTTTTTCAACAACCGTTTAAGCAGAAAGACAATGGGATAGACATAGTGCCAAATAGTAATAGCCATTTCATCTTAACCCTGTCAGTTTTAGAGGTGGGGACAACGCTAGATCTGCGGCCTCTATGGGTTAGTTTCTGTTGTCTTCTGTTTCTGCTTTTCTCATGCTTATCACCTTGCTTTCGTTAGTGCCCAGTTGTTTTTCGTTTTTTACTGGACATTCTATTTGAAAAATTGTTTCCAGAAAGAAATCTAAGGGCTAGGATGATGTTTTCTTCTTCTGGAGAAAATTTTCCTTTGCTTCTGTAGGTACCCATGAGCACTAGCGTTCCAGAAATAATCTTAGTCCGTATTCAGAGATCAAGGCTGCCCGAGCCATCCAGATAAGTCAAAGCTGTGATGCAACCTGTGAGGACTTGTTTTCCTCTAGTTCGGCCTTATCTATCCCATCTGTGACTGCCCCAGACCTTAACATTTAACTCCCTGCTTTCTAAGGCTGTCAAAAGTGCTCTGCAGCTGTCAGACTGTGCTTACTGTGTTCAACGCAATGAAAGACAAAACTGAAAAATCTGTCAGAGAATTTAAAACTATAAAAATGACATAGCAGAAGTGGAAAGGAACCAAATAGAAATGATATAGATGAAAACTGTAATAATCAAAAAATTTAAAAGCAGTGGATGGATTTAACAGTAAATTAAACATAGCTGAAGAAAGGAAAATAAACTAGAAAATAGATCAGAAGAAAATACATAGAATGAAACTTGAAGAGACAAAAAGTATGGAAAGAACAGAAGAGAAAGAGACATGGACAATACAGCTAAACTAGTGTTTAGATGAAAATGCATGACCTGAAATGGATATATTAGAAATGAAGAATGGCTGAAAATTAATGAGGAAGCATCTATCTCAGGAAATTAGAATGAGAACCGTAAAATAAATCTAGAGAAAGCAGAAGGAAGTAAATAGTAATATGAGTAGAAATTAATGAAATAGAAAATAAATAGAGGCTTTATAGAGTGAGAAGTTGGTTATTCAAAAATGCTGATAGGACTTCCCCGGTGGTGCAGTGGTTGAGAATCTGGCTGCCAATGCAGGGGACACAGGTTTGATCCCTGGTCCAGGAAGATAACCTCCCACATGCCATGGAGCAACCAAGCCTGTGCGCTGCAACTACTGAAGCCCGTGTGCCGGAACTACTGAAGGCCGTTCGCCACAACTACTGAAGCTCGCAAGCCTAGAGCCCGTGCTCCACAACAAGAGAAGCCACTGCAATGAGAAGCCCGTGCACCTCAATGAAGAGTAGCCCCTGCTCGCTGCAACTAGAGAAAGCTCGCGCGTAGCAACAAGGACCCAATACAGCCAAAAATAAATGGATAAAATAAATAAAATTTTAAAAATGCTAATAAAAACGATAAACCTCTGGCAAGACAATTGAGAAAGAAAGCAGGCACAAATACCATCTAAGGAATAGAATAGAGGTCCTGCAGACATTAAAACAATAAGGGGATGAAAGCAACTATGTCAGTAAATTTGAAAATTTGGAAGAAAATGATAACTTCTTTGAAAAACACAACTGACAAAAGAATAAAAAGAAAATCTGAATCATTCTGTAGCTGTTAAGTTAATGTATTTAACAAAAACAAACAACAACAAAAACTGTATGAGGACATTAGGAGAAAGAAATTTGCAGGGCAATTTTACTTCTGAATATAGATTCAAAAATTCTAAACAAAATATTATAAATAAAATCCAGCAATATATAAAAAGGATAATATATCCAGACGAATGTGGGTTTATTCTAAAAATGCAAGGTTGCTTTAACACATTTATCCATTGTAGTCACCGATATTTATTAACAAAGTGAAGGAGGAAATGTTCTTATCTCAATAAGGAAGAAAAAAAGTTTTGATAAAATTCAACATTCATTAATCAAGACAATGAAGTAAAGGTATAAGGATTGGAAAAAGTAAATAAAACCATCATTATACCTGGATGATATGATTGTGTATGTAGAAAATTAAAAGGAATCTACAAACTGTGAAATTGCTGAATTAGTTTTGCAAGGTTGCTCAATGCATGGTAGATATGTAAAACTTAATTGAATTTCTCTCTCTGTATATATAGGTATATGCCACATATAAGTAAGTAATACTATTTTCCAAACTTCAAAAGTATCAGATGTCTAGAAATAAACCTCACAAAATATGCTCAAGACCTCTGTGTAGAAAATCATAAGACATTATTGTGGTAATGAAGAGCCAAATAAGTGGAAAGATATATCACGCTCATGGATTGAAAGATTCAATATTGTAGTGATGTCAATAATTCCAAAATATCTATAGAGTCATGGCATTGCCAACTAAAATCAATGGGTTTGGGCTTCCCTGGTGGCTCAGTGGTTAAGAATCTGCCTGCCAATGCAGGGAACACGGGTTCAAGCCCTGGTCCGGGAAGATCCCACATGCCGCGGAGCAACTAAGCCCGTGAACCATAATTACTGAGCCCGAGTGTCACAACTACTGAAGCTTGCGCACCTAGAGCCTGTGCTCCACAACAAGAGAAGCCACTGCAATGAGAAGCCTGCGCACTGCAGTGAAAAGTAGCCCCTGCTCACCACAACTAGAGAAAGCCCACGTGCAGCAACGAAGACCCAACACAGCCAAAAATAAAATAAATAAATTTATTTTAGAAAAATCAGTGGGTTTTGTTTTTGAAACTGATAAGCTGATTCTGTAATTTATAAGAATATGCAAAGCACCAAGACTAAGACTCACTTAAAGAAGAACAGGGAGGAAGGCCTTGCTCTCCTGGATATGAAGATATGTCATATATTTAATATAGTGTGTTACCAGTACAAGGATAGACAAATAAACATTGGATCAGATTAGAGAGCCCTGAAACAGACTGACCCTTAGATGGACACGTGAGTACTGGCAAAGGTAATACTGTTGATTGTTTCCCCAAAATGATCTTTTGAAAAATGTGCTGAGTCAAACACTGCTTCCTGCACTTAGTTCACTGCAGATGAGTAGGTTCTGATGGTCTGATTGTCCCTCCGCCCAACAAACCACCTTGCTCTGCCTGGGGTTCTCAGCACCCCTTCCACCTGCTAGTGCCAAGTGCAAGACAGGTTGACAAGCATGGGACCTTTTTCTTTCAGTTAAAGAGCATGCTCCTCCTGGAGCTGTATTCAGTGAAAGTTGTTCAAGGAGAGCTGTGGTTTGGCACTGTGAGATCTCTAACTCATGGGGGCATCAGGACAGGCAAGGGGCATGCTCCAATATAAGATCTGAAGTATGCAAATACGAGGTTGTAAATGCATATGGTTAAGCCTAGCCCTTAAACTGCTTGCTTTTTCATCCTCCATCATTCATTTACTTTCATCTTTCAACCCACGTTTGGTCCTGCTGCATATTCCTAGATGGTACTGTGCCTTTAAGTCATTGTTCAGTGGCGGTCTGTTGCTGGATGTGTCAGGGAATTCATTTTTTATCCTTATTCATACATTCCATTTCCCTGTCAGTTATGTCTTGGGGTGTGTGTGTGTGTGTGTGTGTGTGTGTGTGTGTGTGTGTGTACGCACGTGCTACATCTTACAAAACGTTTCTCAAGAACTGGAATTAAGCTATGGTGTCAAACACAATCACTCATTTGAACCTCTTTTCTTTGTAGGTGAGATCACTGGACAATGCCACCTGCTTTGTGGACAGTGTGGGTCTTGGGGTCTGTAATCAGCCTCCCCAAGGAGGGAGCCTCTGATCAGGCTTCTTCTCTGTCTTGTGACCCCACTGGTGTCTGCGATGGCCGCTCCAGATCTTTAAACTCCATCCCCTCAGGGCTCACGGCAGCTGTGAAAAGCCTTGACCTGTCCAGCAATGAGATCACCTATGTCAGCAACAGCGACCTGCGGAGGTGTGTGAACCTCAGGACTCTGAGGCTGGGGGCCAATGAAATTCACACGGTGGAGGAAGATTCTTTTTTTTCGCTGAGGAGTCTTGAATATTTGGACTTATCCTATAATCGTTTATCTTACTTCTCATCCTCCTGGTTCAGATCCCTTTCTGCCTTGAAATTCTTAAACTTACTGGGAAATTTATACAAAACACTCGGGGAAAGATCTCTTTTTTCTCATCTCCCAAATCTGCGAATCCTGAAAGTAGGAAATAGTAACAGCTTCACTGAGATTCAGGAAAAGGATTTCGCTGGGCTAACTCTTCTTGAGAAACTTGAGATTAATGCTCCAAATATGCAGACATATGCGCCGAAGAGTTTAAAGTCAATCCGGAACGTCAGCCATCTGATTCTTCATCTGAAGCAGCCTGTTTTACTGTTGGAGATTTTTGTAGATATTTTAAGTTCCTTAGAACATTTAGAACTGAGAGATACTAATTTGAACACTTTTCATTTTTCAAAAGTATCCATCAGTGAAACGAATACATCGATTAAAAAGTTTACATTTAGAAATGTGCAAATCACTGACGAAAGTTTTACTGAAGTTGTGAAACTGTTTAATTATGCTTCTGGAGGCTTAGAAGTAGAGTTTGATGACTGTACCCATGATGGAGTTGGTGATTTTAGGACATTGACTCTGGAGACAATGAAACGCCTACGTGACGTGGAGACATTAACAATACGGAAGTTGCATGTCCCACAGTTTTTCTTATTTCGTGATCTGAGTAATATATATTCACTCACAGGAAAAGTTAAAAGAATCACAATAGAAAACAGTAAGGTTTTTCTGGTTCCCTGTTTACTTTCACAACATTTAAAATCATTAGAATATTTGGATCTCAGTGAAAACTTAATGTCTGAAGAAACCTTGAAAAACTCAGCCTGTGAGCATGCCTGGCCCTTCCTAAAAACCTTAGTTTTAAGGCAGAATCGTTTGAAATCATTAGAAAAAACTGGAGAAATTTTGCTTACTCTGAAAAACCTGACTAACCTTGATATCAGTAAGAATAATTTTCATTCAATGCCTGAAACTTGTCAGTGGCCAAGAAAAATGAAATATTTGAACTTATCCAGCACAAGAATACAAAGTTTAACCCGTTGCATTCCCCAGACACTGGAAATTTTAGATATTAGCAATAACAATCTCGATTCATTTTCTTTGATTTTGCCAAAACTCAAAGAACTTTATATTTCCAGAAATAAGTTGAAGACTCTACCAGATGCCTCCTTTTTACCTGTGTTATTAGTTATGAGAATCAGCAGAAATATAATAACTACTTTCTCTAAGGAGCAACTTGATTCTTTTCAAAAACTGAAGACTTTGGAAGCTGGTGGCAACAGTTTCGTTTGCTCCTGTGACTTCCTGTCTTTCACACAGGGGCAGCAGGCCCTGGCCCAGGTCCTGATCGACTGGCCAGAAGAATACGTGTGTGACTCTCCATCCTCCGTGCGGGGCCAGCGGGTTCGGGACACCCGGCTCTCGCCTTCTGAATGCCACAGGGCAGCTGTGGTGTCTGCCGTGTGCTGTGCCCTTTTCCTGTCGTTCCTGCTCGTGGGAGTTCTGTGCCACCGTTTCCACGGACTGTGGTACATGAAGATGATGTGGGCCTGGCTCCAGGCCAAGAGGAAGCCCAGGAAGGCTCCCCGCAGGGACATCTGCTATGACGCCTTTGTGTCCTACAGTGAACGGGATTCCTACTGGGTGGAGAACCTCATGGTCCAGGAGCTGGAGCACTTCAGACCTCCCTTTAAGTTGTGTCTTCACAAGCGGGACTTCATTCCTGGCAAGTGGATTATCGACAATATCATTGACTCCATTGAAAAGAGCCACAAAACCATCTTTGTGCTTTCTGAGAACTTTGTGAAGAGTGAGTGGTGCAAGTACGAGCTGGACTTCTCCCATTTTCGTCTCTTTGATGAGAACGACGATGCTGCCATTCTCATTCTGCTGGAGCCCATTGAGAAAAAGGCCATCCCCCAGCGTTTTTGTAAGCTGCGGAAGATCATGAACACCAAGACCTACTTGGAGTGGCCCGCTGATGAGACGCAGCAGGAAGGGTTTTGGGTAAATTTGAGAGCTGCAATAAAGTCCTAGGATCCTTCATTAAGGGTCAGTCTTGGTCTGGTGGTGGTCTTTCTATCACTAGTTATAACTAAGTCCATTCTGACCCAATTATATGTAAACTATATGAATGAGGACTTGCTTACTGAAACAACTAAAACTGTTCAAAAGCTGCTACCAGATTGGAAAAACATAGTTCTGGGCTTTTCTTTATCCTATGAGATAATCATGATCTCACTGCATTATTGATATCTGAATTATCTGTACCAATTGACTTAGTTCATTAGGAAACAGCAGAAATGAGCAGAAGATTTCAAATGACTGTGTCCGTCAGCTTTCTGCCAGGAGACTCACGCACGTCTGTAGAGGTCGTTCTCCATCCCCGCACCTGTCCCTTCTGTGCCTGACTGCTCTCAAGAGCAGCAAGGCAAAATGTTATTGCTGTTCTTAGAAAAAAAGTGCTGTGTGTCCTCATTAAGCTTCACAGGATACAAAAAACCCTAGAAGGTATATTTTCATATGAACTGGATCTGTCTTTCTCGCTATTTGATAGGTTTCTCCAGCCATAGTTACTTGAGAGAGGGTATATAACCCAAGATGCAGTAAATTATGTATTTCTATGAAAATGAAACTAATGAAATATATACTCAGTTTTGAAGGATTTGAAAGAATCCCCCTATATCCCTGACTCAGATCTTCAGCCTTTAACTACGTGTGAAGTTCTAATTAGTGTCTGGTTACTCTGCTTTCAGCCCCATCTTCTAGTCGGCTTCCCTTGCATCATGTTGCTTTTTCCTTCTTTGAAAAGTCTTGTTTCTGATTTTTTCTCTTTTTGAAACATTATGAATGTACGTATGAGCTAAATAGATTTTTAAGCAAGTATAGACCTAGAGGTTCTTCACAATGACTCAGAAATATTTGATACACAATAATTTAAAAGATAGATACTACTTCCATATGTTAATTTTTAGAATCTAGATAATAAGACATTAAGTGAATATATTAAATTTAAAAGTGAGGAGCTATTTATGGACTTCAACTCACTCCTTAAGCTGGGAACCACATGTGAAAGGAAGTGACCTTGCTCAGTCCTCAGCCAGAACTGGGTCTGTGTGGTTAGTTGGGGTCTGGAATCAGAAGGACCTGGGTTAGTATGCATGTATCTTTGGGCAACTCAATCTGATCCCAAATATTTTCCTGTCCTTAAGATAGGGATAATAATAAATACATCGTAGGGTCTGATGTAGATGTCAAGGTGCAGTAAAGCACTGGCATGTGCCCCTGGATGAGGACCAACCCTATGAGAATGGGTACCATGGGGTACTCGCACAGGGTGACAGGTGCCTGTGGTAGGTGTTAGCTATTATTATTATTTTCCAAGAAGGAAGTCGTCTTATATATTATGGTTTGTAAATGAATGTTTTTGTGTTATGAGTACTAGCAGGGATCTAGGGTATATTTTCTGTCGTTTGCAGAAAGTTATCCCAAAGAAATAAGTTCATTAAGTGCAGGACAGGCTTTAGTCCTTGGGAAACCCAAACAGTGGGTTCTTCTATCTCACACAAACTCCTGGGAGAGTGTAATAGAGTACCCAGCCTAAGAAAAAAATAGACAAGTTCAGGAGAAGGAGACTTGAGATGCCACAGAAACCAAACACAAAATGGACTTTTTGCTTTAGTCCTCTATTTCCTTCCTACATTAAGCACAATGTTAATTGTCATGAGAACCAGACAAATTTAACGTGGACTTGACCTGTAGATTTAATTTCAATAATTTAAACAGCAATAGAAAAGCTTCATAGTTAATTGATAGATTTAAAATAATATTTTAAAAATAATCTATTTTTCTCATTGCAAATGTTAAACTGTAGAAAATTTGGACAAGAAACAAAAGCATATAAAATAAATTAAGAATCAGCTCTTATCCCTTTACCTTGAGATAACCACTGGTAACTGAGTAGTATATACATATTACTTCACAAAACTGAGACTAGATTTAATTAATTAATTTATTTAAAATTAATTTATTTTTTGGCTGCGTTGGGTCTTCATTGCTGTGCACGGGCTTTCTCTAGTTGTGGCAAGCAGGGGCTACTCTTTACTGTGGTGCATGGGCTTCTCATTGCAGTGGCTTCTTTTTGTGGAGCACAGGCTCTAGGCTCGTGGGCTTCAGTAGTCGTGTTGCGTGAGCTCAGTAGTTGTGGCTCATGGGCTCTAGAGCACAGGCTCAGTAGTTGTGGCGCATGGGCTTAGTTGCTCCGCGGCATGCGGGATCTTCCCGGACCAGGGCTCGAACCTGTGTCCCCGCATTGGCAAGCGGATTCTTAACCACTGCGCCACCAGGGAAGCCCCTGAGATTAGATTTTAAATGCCTAAACTGTGTAAAGGAAATAGCATCTTTATTTTTTTCTGATATTGTTTAGTAATTATCTAACATTTCTGAACTCTGAGGGTCATTCAGAATTCCATGAAGACACATGCTGGTTTACTTGCCCAGAGTCCTAAAGGGTCTTCACTCTGCTCTCCATAAAAGGCAGATGGCAAATACATCAGAGGTGCATTTAAGGGCTCTGCTACAAAAGACAAACTAATTTTTAGTTGGTGCTTTATCCAGTTGTGAGGTCTTTTATTTGTCTGTAGCCTGTAAGTTCAAAAATCTTGATTTATCTCTTTAATCCTTGCACATGCCTGGTACGTAATAAATATTGAATTGTTGAAATGTTTGCTGAGTAGAGAAATAAAGCAGAGTTAAATCTTCTAATAATCTGGATGATGAGCCAGCTGTAATACTGAAGCACTGAGCAGTTTCAAGAAGGAATATTACCAACCAGAAAAATCTTAATGTGAGTTATTGTCATTACAACTACAATGGAATTTTGTATAGCATTAAGTGCGTTGCTGATATTTTTAAAACATTTATTGAAGCATAGTTGATTTACAATGTTGAGTTAATTCCTGCTGTACAGCAAAGTGACTCAGTTATACATATATACATTCTTTTTCATATTCTTTTCCATTATGGTTTATCACAGGATATTGAATATAGTTCCCTGTGCTATACAGTAGGACCTTGTTGTTTATCCATTCTATATATAATAGTTTGCATCTGCTCACCCAAACTTCCAATCCAACCTGACCCCACTCCCCCTCCCCGCTGGTAACCACAAGTCAGTTCTCTATGTCTGCGAGTCTGTTTCTGTTTCATAGATAAGTTCATTTGTGTCATATTTTAGATTCCACATATAAGTGATATCATGTGGTATTTGTCTTTCTGTTTCTGACTGACTTCACTTAGTATGATAACTTCTAGATCCATCCAAGTTGCTGCAATGCGTCGCCCATGTTTCCGACAATAGATTTGTTTCTTTTCTACTTCATACAAGTGTAATGTCTTCACGTATTGCAGAATAGATGTCTGGTGTGATGTAGACAGTGTTGGCTGTTTAACAAATGACCAGTAATTTAAAATGAATTAATTTTGGGGAGTTCAACATATTCTTGGGTTAATTTGTTTGACTGGTCTTCCCAATTCTGTTAATTTTTTCTTTCTTGCTGGATTAATTCATTTGGTCAGCAAATATTTATTGAGTGCCTGTTATGTGCCAGGTACTGCTCCAAGTGCTGGAGAGATAGTAGGGAACAAAACAGATAAAATTCCCAGTCTTCATGGAGGTGAAGACAAACAGTAAACAAATGAGTCTATGATATGATTTCAGGAAATGCTGTGAAGAAAATAAAAGCAGAGTATGGCCATGGATTGACTGTGTGTGTGTGTGTGTGTGTGTGTGTGTGTGTGTGTGTGTGTGAACAGAGTGGCACAGAAGAAGAGAGTGCTTCTCTTCCCTTTAGTGCAGCCCTTGGGTGGGCTGAGTGCATGGGGCAGCCCCAGGAAACCCAGCATAGCTCTGGCCCATTGAGTGGACTGCAACACACTGGTGCTAGAGGCTTCAGGAGTGCTCTCTGCACAGAAGGGCTCTGTGGTGCCAAAGCTGCCACGTGGTAACAAGCACAAAGAACACAAAAGACTCTGTTCTAAAACCATAGATTTAACAACTCTGCCTACTTCTTTGAAGATGTTGAACTGATAAGAAGGTACTTGTTGTAACTCAACGTTGTACGTGAGGAGTACTTTGCAAACCTCTGAAACACGCCTCAGATGAGATCACTGTAAGCCAAAGTAGAGGTGGGATGTCCACAGTGGGTGGTACCAAATGTGTCAGATGCCATGATTAGAAAACGATTGTAATCGGAAGGATGCAAAGCACGCTTTATTTGTTTATTCCATTGCTCAGCTTCTCTTTAAATTCTTTCCACAAGACAAAGTGCCAGTTGTTATTCAGTTCTCTAAATTCTTGGGGTCATCTCTAAAATTAGAAAAGAAGGGCTTCCCTGGTGGCGCAGTGGTTGAGAGTCCTCCTGCCGATGCAGGGGACACGGGTTCGTGCCCCGGTCCGGGAAGATCCCACATGCCGCGGAGCGGCTGGGCCCGTGAGCCATGGCCGCTGAGCCTGCGCGTCCGGAGCCTGTTGCTCCGTGGCGGGAGAGGCCACAACAGTGAGAGGCCCACGTATCACAAAAATAATAATAATAAAAAATTAGAAAAGAATATCAATATTAAATGTAGGATTAAGGCTTAGAAAATATTTCAACATGCAATACATTGCTTCTGGGGTAGGTGTACCATGCTATTCTAGCCCTAGTGAATAATTAATGCCTTGGAAGATTCCTATCACCACGGGTTGCCAGGCCACCAGATAACGAAGCCAGTCCAGGATTTGTCCATATAAAAAGTGTGTGTGGAGGAGCTTCAAGATGGCGGAAGAGTAAGATGTGGAGATCACCTTCTCCCCACACATACATCAGAAATAGATATACATGTGGAACAACTCCTACAGAACACCTACTGAATGCTGGCAGAAGACTTCAGACCTCCCAAAAGGCAAGAAACTCCCCACGTAGCTGGGTAGGGCAAAAGAAAAAAGAAAAAGCAGAGACAAAAGGATAGGGACGGAACCTGCACCAGTGGGAGGGAGCTGTGAAGGAGGAAAGGTCTCCACACACTAGGAGCCCCTTCACGGGCGGAGACTGCGGGAGGCGGAGGGGGGAGCTTCGAAGCCGCGGAGGAGAGCACAGCCATAGGGGTGCGGAGGGCAAAGCAGGAAGATTCCCGCACAGAAGATCGGTACCGACCAGCACTCACCAGCCCGAGAGACTTGTCTGCTCACCCGCCAGGGCGGGTGGGGCTGCGTGCTGAGGCTCGGGCTTCGGAGGTCAGTGGGGCTGGTGGCGTGAACACAGCCTGAAGGGGCTAGTGCACCATGGCTAGCCGGGAGGGAGTCCGGGAAAAAGTCTGGAGCTGCGGAAGAGGCAAGAGACTTCTTTCCTCTTTGTTTCCTGGTGCGCGAGGAGAGGGGATTAAGAGCTCCGCTTAAGGGAGCTCCAGAGACGGGCGTGAGCCGCGGCTATCAGCGAGGACCCCAGCGATGGGCATGAGACGCTAAGGCTGCTCCTGCCGCCACCAAGAAGTCTGTGTGCGAGTACAGGTCACTATCCACACCTCCCTTCCCGGGAGCCTGTGCAGCCCGCCACTGCCAGGGTCCCGGGATCCAGGGACAACTTCCCCGGGAGGATGCACGGTGCGCCTCAGGCTGTTGCAACATCATGCTGGGCTCTGCTGCCGCAGGGTTGCCCCGCATCCGTACCCCTCCATCCCCCGGACTGAGTGAGCCAGAGCCCCCGAACCAGCTGCTCCCTTAACCCCGTCCTGTCTGAACGAAGAACAGACGCCCTCAGGCGACCTACACACAGAGGCGGGTCCAAATCCAAAGCTGAACCCCAGGAGCTGTGTGAACAGAGAAAGGGAAATCCCTCCCAGCAGCCTCAGGAGCAGTGGATTAAATCTCCACAATCAACTCGATGTACCCTGCATCAGTGGAATACCTGAGTAGACAACGAATCATCCCAAATTGAGGAGGTGGACTTTGGGAGCGACGATATACATATATTTTCCCTTTTGCTCTTTTTGTGAGTGTGCATGTGTATGCTTCTGTGTGTGAATTTGTATAGCTTTGCTTTTACCATTTGTCCTAGGGTTCGGTCTGTCCGTCTTTTTTTTTTTTTATTTTAGTATAGTTTTAGCACTTGTTATCATTGTTAGATTTGTTTTTTGGTTTGGTTGCTCTCTTCTTTCTTTTTTATTACTTAAATGTTTTTAAAAATAATTTTTATTTTAATAACTTAAATTTAATTTCCTTTTATCTTCTTTCTTTTTCTCCCTTTTATTCTGAGCCATGTGGATGACAGGCTCTTGGTGCTCCACCCAGGCATCAGGGCTGTGCCTCTCAGGTGGGAGAGCCAAATTCAGGACATTCGTCCACAAGAGGCCTACCAGCTCCACTTAATATCAAATGGAGAAAATCTCCCAGAGATCTCCATCTCGACACCAACACCCAGATTCACTTAACGACCAGCACTATGGTGCTGGACACCCTATGCCACACAATTAGCAAAACAGGAACACAACCCCACTCATTAGCAGAGAGGCTGCCTAAAATCATAATAAGGTCACAGACACCCCAAAACACACCACCAGACATGGAACTGCCCACCAGAAAGACAAGATCCAGCCTCATCCACCAGAACACAGGCACTAGTGCCCTCCACCAGGAAGCCTACACAACCCACTGAACCAACCTTAGCCACTGGGGGCAGACACCAAAAACAACAGGAACTACAAACCTGCAGCCTGCGAAAAGGAGACCCTAAACACAGTAAGTTAAGCAAAATGAGAAGACAGAGAAACACACAGCAGATGAAGGAACAAGGTAAAAACCCACCAGACCTAGCAAATGAAGAGGAAATAGGCAGTCTACCTGAAAAAGAATTCAGAATAATGATAGTAAAGATGATCCAAAATCTTGGAAATACAATGGAGAAAATACAAGAAACGTTTAACAAGGACCTAGAAGAACTAAAGACCAAACAAACAGTGATGAACAACACAATAAATGAAATTAAAAATTCTCTAGGCCCTCTGACCCCCGTCCCCCACTGCAGCCGGTGGGGCAGGTGAAATTTTGTTGCTTGTTGGCCTTAACACATGCCTCCAAATTACAAAACAAGATTTACTACTAGGTACACATCGGAAGAAGCAGGTGTTAATACCACTGGAATTTTGCCTAGCAAATTATTTACATAATCTGGGCAACAAAAGAATTGCTTCAGAGTTTTAGAGAAATATGTTTTGAGGAGCTTCAAGACGGTGGAAGAGTAAGACATAGAGATCACCTTCCTCCCCACAAATACATCAGAAATACATCTACATGTGGAACAACTCCTACAGAACACCTACAGAACGCTGGCAGAAGACCTCAGACCTCCCAGAAGGCAAGAAGCTCCCCATGTACTTGGGTAGGGCAAAAAAAAAAACAGAGACAAATAATAGGGATGGGACCTGCACCAGTGGGAGGGAGCTGTGAAGGAGGAAAGGTTTCCACACACTAGGAAGCTCCTTCGTGGGTGGAGACTGCGGGTGGTAGAGGGGAAGCTTCAGAGCCACGGAGGACAGCGCAGCAACGGGGGTGCAGAGGGCAAAGTGGAGAGATTCCTGCACAGAGGATTGGTGCCGACCAGCACTCACCAGCCCGAGAGGCTTGTCTGCTCACCCACTGGGACGGGTGGGGGCTGGGAGCTGAGGCTCGGGCTTCGGAGGTCGGATTACAGGGAGAGAACTGGGTTTGGCTGCGTGAATACAGCCTGAAGGGGGCTAGTCCGCCACAGCTAGCCAGGAGGGAGTCCGGGAAAAACTCTGGAGCTGTAGAAGAGGCAAGAGACTTTTTCTTGCCTCTTTGTTTCCTGGTGCGCGAGGAGAGGGGCTTAAGAGCACTGCTTAAAGGAGCTCCAGAGACGGGCGCGAGCCGTGGCTATCAGCACAGACCCCAGAGACGGGCATGAGACGCTAAGCTACCAAGAAGCCTGCGTGGCTGGTCAGTATCCACACCTCCCGTCCTGGGAGCCTGTGCAGCCCACCACTTCCAGGGTCCCGTGATCCAGGGACAACTTCCCTGGGAGGACGCACGGCGTGCCTCAGGCTGTTGCAACATCATGTTGGGCTCTGCTGCCGCAGGCTAGCCCTGCATTCTGTACCCCTCCTTCCCCGCCCCCCCCACCCCGGCCTTAGTGAGCCACAGCCCCTGAATCAGCTGCTCCTTTAACCCCGTCCTGTCTGAGTGAAGAACAGATGTCCTCATACGACCTACACAAAGAGGCGGGTCCAAATCCAAAGCTGAACCCCAGGAGCTGTGCGAACAAAGAAGAGAAAGGGAAATCTCTCTCAGCAGCCTCAGGAGCAGTGGATTAAATCTCCACAATCAATTTGATGTACCCTGCATCTGTGGAATACCTGAATAGACAACGAATCATCCTAAATTGTGTAGGTGGACTTTGGGAGCAATGATAAATATATTTTTCCCCCTTTATCTGTTTTTGTGAGTGAGTATGTGTATGCTTCTGTGTGTGATTTTGTCTGTATAGCTTTGCTTTTACCATTTGTCCTAGGGTTCTGCCTGTCCGTTTTTTCTTTCTTTTTTTTATTACTTAAAAATTATTTTTTTCTTAATAATATTATTTATTTTAATAACTTTATTTTATTTTTTTTATCTTCTTTCTTTCTTTCTTTCTTTTTTTTCTCACTTTTATTCTGAGCCATATGGATGACAGGCTCTTGGTGCTCCAGCCAGGCGTCAGGGCTGTGCCTCTCAGGTGGCAGAGCCAAGTTCAGGACACTGGTCCACAAGAGACCTCCCAGCTCCATGTAATATCAAATGGCGAAAATCTCCCAGAGATCTCCATCTCAATGCCAAGACCCAGCTCCACTCAATGACCAGCAAGCTCCAGTACTGGACACCCTTTGCCAAACTACTAGAAGATAGGAACACAACCCCATCCATTAGCACAGAGGCTGCCTAAAATCATAATAAGGCCACAGACACCCCAAAACGCACCACCAGTCTTGGACCTGCCCACCAGAAAGACAAGATCCAGCCTCATCCACCAGAACACAGGCACTAGTCCCCTCCATCAGGAAGCCTACACAACCCACTGAACCAACCTTAGCCACTGGGGACAGACACCAAAAACAATGGAAAATACGAACCTGCAGCCTGTGAAAAGGAGATCCCAAACACAGTAAGTTCAGCAAAATGAGAAGACAGAGAATGACACAGCAGATGAAGGAGCAAGGCAAAACCCCACCAGACCTAACAAATGAAGAGGAAATAGGCAGTCTACCTGAAAAAGAATTCAGAATAATGATAGTAAAGATGATCCAAAATCTTGGAAATACAAGAAACGTTTAACAACGACCTAGAAGAACCAAAGAGCAAACAGAGATGAACAACACAATAAATGAAATTAAAAACTCTCTAGAAGAGATCAATAGCAAAATAACTGAGGCAGAAGAACGGATAAGTGACCTGGAAGATAAAATAGTGGAAATAACTACTGCAGGGCAGAATAAAGAAAAAAGAATGAAAAGAACTGAGGACAGGCTCAGAGAACTCTGGGACAACATTAAACAAGGGAACATTCGATTTATAGGGGTCCCAGAGGAGAAGAGAAAAAGAAAGGGACTGAGAAAATATTTGAAGAGATTATAGTTGAAAACTTCCCTAACATGGGAAAGGAAATAGTTAATCAAGTCCAGGAAGCACAGAGAGTCCCATACAGGATAAATCCAAGGAGAAACACGCCAAGAAACATATTAATCAAACTATCAAAAATTAAATACAAAGAAGAAATATTAAAAGCAGAAAGGGAAACACAACAATAACACATAACAATAACCCCATAAGGTTAACAGCTGATTTTTCAGCAGAAACTCTGCAAGCCAGAAGGGAGTGGCAGAGCATACTTAAAGTGATGAAGGAGAAAAACCTACAACCAAGATTACTCTAACCATCAAGGATCTCATTCAGATTTGATGGAAATTAAACGATTTACAGACAAGCAAAAGCTAAGAGAATTCAGCACCACCAAACTAGCTTTACAACAAATGCTAAAGGAACTTCTCTAGGCAGGAAACACAAGAGAAGGAAAAGACCTACAATAACAAACCCAAAACAATTAAGAAAATGGAGTAGGAACATACATATCGATAATTACCTTAAATGTAAATGGCTTAAATGCTCCCACCAAAAGACACAGACTGGCTGAATGGATACAAAAACAAGACCCTTATATATGCTGTCTACAAGAGACCCACTACAGACCTAGGGACACATACAGACTGAAAGTGTGGGGATGGAAAAAGATATTCCATGCAAATGGAAAGCAAAAGAAAGCTGGAGTAGCAATTCTCATATCAGACAAAATAGACTTTAAACAAAGACTATTAGAAGAGACAAAGAAGGACACTACATAATGATCAAAGGATTGATCCAAGAAGATATAACAATTGTAAATATTTATGCACCCAAAATAGGAGCACCTCAATACATAAGGCAAATACTAACAGCCATAAAAGGAGAAATCGACAGTAACACAATCATAGTAGGGGACTTGAACAGCCCACTTTCACCAATGGACAGATCATCCAAAATGAAAATAAATAAGGAAACACAAGCTTTAAATGATACATTAAATAAGATGGACTTCATTGATATTTATAGGACATTCCATCCAAAAACAACAGAATACACATTCTTCTCAAGTGCTCATGGAACATTCTCCAGGATAGGTCATATGTTGGGTCACAAGTCAAGCCTTGGTAAATTTAAGAAAATTGAAATTGTATCAAGTATCTTTTCCAACTACAGTGGTATGAGACTAGATATCAATCACAGGAAAAAATCTGTAAGAAATACAAACACATGGAGGCTAAACAACACACTACTCAATAACCAAGAGATCACTGAAGAAATCAAAGAGGAAAGGAAAAAATATCTAGAAACAAATGACAATGAAAACAAAACTACCCAAAAGCTATGGGATGCAGCAAAAGCAGTTCTAAGAGGGAAGTGTATAGCTATACAAGCCAACCTAAGAAACACAAAACATCTCAAAAAAACAACCTAACCTTGAACCTAAAGCAATTAGAGAAAGAAGAATAAAACCCCCACAAAGTTAGCAGAAGGAAAGAAATCATAAAGATCAGATCAGAAATAAATGAAAAAGAAATGAAGGAAACGATAGCAAAGATCGATAAAACTAAAAGCTGGTTCTTTGAGAAGATAAACAAAATTGATAAACAATTAGCCACACTTATCAAGAAAAAAAGGGAGATGAGTCAAATCAATAGAATTAGAAATGAAAAAGGAGAAGTAACAACTGACACTGCAGAAATACAAAGGATCATGAGAGATTACTACAAGCAACTCTATGCCAATAAAATGGATAACCTGGAAGAAACGGACAAATTCTTAGAAATGCACAACCTTCTGAGACTGAACCAGGAAGAAATAGAAAATATGAACAGACCAATCACAAGCACTGAAATTGAAATTAAAAATCTTCCAACAAACAAAAGCCCAGACCAGATGGCTTCACAGGCGAATTCTATCAAACGCTTAGAGAAGAGCTAACACCTATCCTTATCAAACTCTTCCAAAATAGAGCAGAGGGAGGAACACTCCCAAACTCATTCTACGAGGGCACCATCACTCTGATACCAAAAGCAGACAAAGATGTCACAAAGAAAGAAAACTACAGGCCAACATCACTGATGAAAATAGATACAAAAATCCTCAACAAAACACTAGCAAACAGAATCCAACAGCACACTAAAAGGATCATACATTATGATCAAGTGGGGTTTATCCCAGGAATGCAAGCATTCTTCAATATCAAACTGATACACAATATTAACAAATTGAAGGAGAAAAAACATATGATCATCTCAATAGATGCAGAGAAAGCTTTTGACAAAATTCAAAACCGATTTATGATTAAAAAAACCCTCCAGAAAGTAGGCATAGAGGGAACTTTCCTCAACATAATAAAGGCCATATATGACAAACCCACAGCCAACATCATCCTCAATGGTGAAAAACTGAAACCATTTCCACTAAGATCTGGAGCAAGACAAGTTTTCCCACTCTCACCACTATTATTCAACATAGTTTTGGAAGTTTTAGCCACATCAATCAGAGAAGAAAAAGAAATTAAAGGAATCCAAATTGGAAAAGGAGAAGTAAAGCTATCACTGTTTGCAGATGACATGATACTATACATAGAGAATCCTAAAGATGCTACCAGAAAACTACTAGAGCTAATCAATGAATTTGGTAAAGTAGCAGGATACAAAATCAATGCATAGAAATCTCTGGCATTCCTATACACTAATGATGAGAAATCTGAAAGTGAAATTAAGAAAACACTCCTATTTACCACTGCAAGAAAAAGAATAAAATATCTAGGAATAAACCCACTTAGGGAGACAAAAGACCTGTATGCAGAAAATTATAAGACACTGATGAAAGAAATTGAAGATGATACAAATAGATGGAGAAATATACCATGTTCTTGGATTGGAAGAATCAACATTGTGAAAATAACTCTACTACCCTAAGCAATCTACAGATTCAATGCAATCCCTATCAAACTAGCACTGGCATTTTTCACAGAACTAGAACAAAAAATTTCACAATTTGTATGGAAACACAAAAGACCCTGAATAGCCAAAGCAATCTTGAGAAAGAAAAACGGAGGTGGAGGAATCAGGCTCTTGGACTTCAGACTATACTACAAAGCTACAGTAATCAAGATAGTATGGTACTGGCACAAAAACCAAAATATAGATCAATGGAACAGGATAGAAGGCCCAGAGATAAACCCACACACATATGATCATCTTATCTTTCATAAAGGAAGCAAGAATATACAAGGGAGAAAAGACAGCGTATTCAATAGCGATGTTGGGAAAACTGGACAGCTACATGTAAAAGAATGAAATTAGAACACTTCCTAACACCATACACAAAAATAAACTCAAAATGGATTAAAGACCGAAATGTTAGGCCAGACACTATCAAACTCTTAGAGGAAAACATAGGTAGAACACTCTATGACATAAATCACATCAAGATCCTTTTTGAACCACCTCCTAGAGAAATGAAAACAAAAATAAACAAATGGAACCTAATGTAACTTAAAACCTTCAGTGCAGCAAAGGAAACCAAAAACAAGAAAAAAAAAAAAAAAAACCCCTCAGAATGGGAGAAAATATTTGCAAATGAAGCAACTGATGAAGGATTAATCTCCAAAATTTACAAGCAGCTCATGCAGCTCAATATCAAAAAAAACAAACAACCGAATCCAAAAATGGGCAGAAGACCTAAATAGACATTTCTCCAAAGAAGATGTACAGATTGCCAACAAACACATGAAAGAATGCTCAAGATCACTAATTATTCGAGAAATACAAATCAAAACTTCAATGAGGTATCACCGCACACCAGTCAGAATGGCCATCATCAAAAAATCTACAAACAAGAAATGCTGGAGAGGTTGTGGAGAAAAGGGAACCCTCTTGCACTGCTGGTGGGAATGTAAATTGATACAGCCACTATGGAGAACAGTATGGAGGTTCCTTAGAAAACTAAAAATAGAACTACTGCACGACCCAGCAATCTCACTACTGGGCATATACCCTGAGAAAACCATAATTCAAAAAGAGTCATGTACCACAATGTTCATTGCAGCTCTATTTACAATAGCCAAGACATAGAAGCAACCTAAGTGTCCATCAAGAGTTGAATGGATAAAGAAGATGTGGCACATATATACAATGGAATGTTACTCCTCCATAAAAGGAAACGAAATTGAGTTATTTGTAGTGAGGTGGATGGACCTAGAGTCTGTCATAGAGAGTGAAGTAAGTTAGAAAGAGGAAAACAAGTACTGTATGCTAACATATATATATGGAATCTAAAAAACAAACCAAAAAATGGTCATGAAGAACGTAGGGGCAAGATGGGAATAAAGATGCAGACCTACTAGAGAATGGACTTGAGGATATGAGGAGGGGGAAGGGTAAACTGGGACAAAGTGAGAGAGTGGCATGCACATATATACCCTACCAAATGTAAAATAGATTGCTAGTGGGAAGCAGCTGCATAGCACAGGGAGATCAGCTCGGTGCTTTGTAACCACCTAGAGGGGTGGGAGGGAGGGAGATGCAAGAGGGAAGAGATATAGGGATATATGTATATGTATAACTGATTCAGTTTGTTATAAAGCAGAAAGTAACACACCATTGTAAAGCAGTTATACTCCAATAAAGATGTTAAAAAAAAAAAAAAAGTGTGTGCGCTCCGAGATGAATCTCAGTTAAGTAGGTTGCTCTACCTACAGCCATGTAGCAGAAATAGTCATTGTTATTTACACTACACCCAATTTCCAAAAATAAATCGAATCCATCCACGTTAAATTCCCCAAATATCATAATCCCAAACAAGAATAAAAGGCAAGGGTCACTTACTAAAAAAAAGAGGAAAGGGGGGAATGGTTACAGTGGAAAACGAAGAATAATGGGAACTACCGTAGTGAGCAAAAACAGCTCTGGGCTCTCCTGCCTTCAGTTCATCAGAGAGAACTCATTGCCTATCTCAAAGAAAAACATTAGTTCATAGATAATACGTATGTTATCCTGGTATCTTTGATAAATTGTATTAAGGGAACTTAATTAATACCTTCTATCTCTGTTAGCAATGTTCCACACAGAAAGGCAGATTTGTCATATGTAGCTTTTATCTTACACTGAGTCTCAATAAAGAGTACATGTATTTCTTTAGCTGCCTTAGAAGAATGACAATTGTTGTTAGGATGTTACATTCAGAAATAAAGTTCTGTATCTCATAGGGAAAAATAAAAGAGTACATGTAGTATTCAAAAGTTTCTTCTCTCAAGACCATTTCTTTCTCTCAGAGAAACCAATTGTCCTTTGTTATTTAAATGATTGTTAAGGTGACATTTATGATCATATCACCAATTTTATAACAAAGATTTATGTACTGCAGTTTCATAAGTAAGTTATTAGCCAAAAGCTGTTCTGGACTTGTGTTAGCATGAGTGGAGGAGAGGAAGGCACATGGCAGGCCTTCAGCCTTGCCTGTGCGTGCCTCGCACGGACTCTGCGAGGAAGGCCAGGTCTGGGAAGGGAGCTGGTGGCCGCAGGGGATGCTCTCTGTTGTTGGCGTGTGGCTCCGAGATCCAGGGGCCCACGCACGCTGCCTCCTCCACTGCCCTGCTTGCAAGTCCTTCCTTGGTTTGCAGTCCCCAGAGATGGGGGCGTTGCTGCCAGCGCTGCCGGTTCAAACTAAACACTTAGGGTTTGAAGAGTCGGCGGGGCAGGGAGCAGGGTGGGGGTCTCCTTTAGCACTGTGAATGCAGGTGACTGGAACTCAGAAGGAACAGTAAGGCTGTCACTTAGGAGAAGAGCGAGTACTTGGCAGGCAGAAACCATCCCTTCAGTGCTCTTCTGCTTAAGGGGGGATATGTTTTAGTTCCATTTACGCCCCTGGAAGATATACACTATGGTCTTGGGCCAGTGAGGGGTTGAGGGCTAAGTCTTTGTAGTCAGCTCTGGGTGGGGACATTCCCTTCCTGTGACCTTAAGGAGATTTGGGTTTATTCAGTTGGGGATCCCTGCTGTCTATAAAAATCCTTTTGCTGCCATTTGTCGAGCAAATCTGTAGTAGGTCTTCACTCCTTTCAATATTATTATTACTTAGGTTAGCCTAAGAAAAGATGAGCTGTAGCAAGGAATTAAAAAAGCCAAAATTCAGGGGGAAAAACCCCTACTCATGTCTGGAAATAAAACAATTTGGTACACCTTCAAAATACTTTTCTATTCTAGCTCACATTTGAGGCCTTTACAATTTCAATTCTTTTTTTTTTTTTTTTTGCGGTATGCGTGCCTCTCACTGTTGTGGCCTCTCCCGTTGCGGAGCACAGGCTCCGGACGCGCAGGCTCAGCGGCCATGGCTCACCGGCCCAGCCGCTCCGCGGCACGTGGGATCCTCCCGGACAGGGGCACGAACCCGTGTCCCCTGCATCGGCAGGCGGACTCTCAACCACTGCGCCACCAGGGAAGCCCTCAATTCTAATCTATTTGTCTCCCCACCCACTCGTCCCATCCACCTGTTACCTATCATCTCTCTATCTGTTTGCCTATCTATCTATATCTATATCTATATCTATCTATCTATCTATCTATCTATCTATCTATCTATCTATCTATCTATCTATCTATCTATCTGTCTGTCTGTCTGTCTTTCTGTCTGTCTATCTACCTACCTACCTACCTACCTATCTTATCCTTCCATATATTCACCTATCTTTTGCAATGTCCCATCACATTTCCACTAAAGCCCTAATAGTGGAATATGTGGAATATAAAGAGTACAATGTATCTTTTTTGGCATTTAACTTCCTAACTAGAATGGTAATGTAGGCACAGGGGAGAAAAGAAACCAGAAAATTGTTGTGAAAAAGGTGGTTAGGGAGAACAGAACGTTTTCTGCTGTACCTATAATGAAGATAAGGAACGTTTAAAGAATACATCACCAGAAAAAAATTTGAGATAATATTTCATAACTTTATAAAAAAGGATACAGGTTATTGATCATCCTCTTCAAATCGACCTTCTCTTTGCAGTAAGGGCACGTCTGCTTTCTACCAACAATACACCAACCTCGGATGCAGAATTCATGAAAGCTTAGGGATCTTTTTAGGGAAGCTTCTGGATATTAAAGGGCAAGGTCTGCTTCATGATGATGTAATAGAAGTGACTCCACCTGTAGGGCGGAGTGGTGGAGGTGGGAATTGCTCTCGGTTATGACTCAGTTGTGTCTATCACTCTCTTAGGGAGATTCTGCAGGACAAGGGAACCACCAAGTCCCAGAGGAGCCTGGAGTCAGAGCTGCAATAGCTTATGACCCTGAGGAATTTACTGATCTTCTTGGCCTTATGTGTTCTTACCTCACTCGATTCTTGTGATTAAATTACAAAAAGAATGTGGACATGCTTTTTTACAGGAATGTCTTATGTAAACATATCATTGTATTTCTCTGTCTCGCTTATGCATTTTTCTGTGTTTACCGTAGCATCTCTCCATTCAGCTCTTTGTGCACCTACTCACTACCTACTATGTATGTAACCAGACTTGTCTTAGGCGCTAGACAAATTTAAATTATTTGTGGTCAAGAATATGTACAAATATTTCTGTTAGCTTCATAAGTTTTTTCTCAACTTTTATTACTGATAAGGGGCCAGTTATTTTTAATAGAATATAAACCTATAATGAACATCTAAAACTCTAGGCATTTACAGATTCAGTTGTATACAACCCCTTGTCCAGAAAGTTTGACCCTTTGGCCCCAAAGTTGCCAGTGAACTGTATGTTTTTCTGCAGCACCAGGGACGGAGTCTTAACAGAGCACAGGTCACTCTGTGTCATGACTTTCTGTGTATTTACATGTCTCTCCTGGGCAATATGTTACCTGTGGGACCATGACTCATTCATCTCTGTGCTCAGCACATTAAGCAGTGCCTAAGTGCCTATTTATTGAACAAGTATTTGAATGAATCATTCAAAACCGATTACTTTTGCAAATGTATTTCCCCCAGGTTCCACAGCTTATAGATTTGGGTAAATGATTAACTACAATGAGATCCATCATGTTGATTTATTTCTACAGTTGTTGATCCCAGTGTGGCCTTCTGGATCAAGATCACACGATGTTCTGTCTGGCCTGCTACACACCTGTGTGAACAAAAATGATGTTCCCTCTCTAACAGACGGAGGATATGAAGGCGGAGGCAAGTCAAGGCCATGTAGATGATTCCTCAATATTAGATCTGTGTGCAACTAAGGGTTCCCACTCTTTTACGTTCTTGGCGTTGGGGTCACTTTTGCAACATGCTTGGGTTAACATACAGTGTATTATAACAAAGATTCTGAGTCAAAACCCATACAGCTCTTCATTCAAAAGGGCTGGAGTACAGCCCCATCTTCCACATAGATATGGAGTTCAGGGGTCATCGAACGATCATCGAAATGTCCATCTCCTCTTTAATATTCTCATCTTCAAAATCTCATCTGCAAAGCTTCCACACTGGCAGAATTGCCGCAGAGCAAGACTCAGATTCCCGCCCCCTTGTTAATATGATTCCGGTTTGCCCACTCCTTGTTAATATGACTCATGCTAAAATGGGCCTTTAATAATACTCCCTGCAAAGCAAATTTAAAGGTGACTACATTTTCGATTACATATGCACACGTGTACAACAATCCCTAAGGGCTTTTAAAGGTGAAGAGAGAGGAAATACTTCCACTTGCAAATGGCAGAAGGGGCTCTGTTCCAACATTTGAAAAGTAATTCGTATTTAAAACTAGGACCAGACTTGGAAAATTTCTACTAAGAATGATAGTTTTTTGGGAAAGGTATCACACTGAGAAACCACATAGACTTCCACATGGGGTATCTTTGTGTTTCTCACCTTAAAATGTTAAAACTTAAATGTTGGAATAATACATTTCAGATGCATTTGGTCCAGTTTAGTTTTGCGGTACGCAGGCCTCTCACTGTTGTGGCCTCTCCCATTGCAGAGCACAGGCTCCGGACGCGCAGGCTCAGCGGCCATGGCTCACGGGCCCAGCCGCTCCACGGCATGTGGGATCCTCCCGGACCTGGGCACGAACCCGTGTTCCCTGCATCGGCAGGCGGACTCTCAACCACTGTGCCACCAGGGAAGCCCTGGTCCAGTTTTTGACTCTCAGGATTGAATAAATGGAATCTGTCCAGGTTAAAGAGAATCAAATCATGAGTGCTGCACATCTAGGGCATTACTGATTGAGTTAGGTGGGCTTCAGAGGCAAAAGACAGATGGTTTAACCACCTCATAATGCCAGAGCTTTGAACCGACTGAGTGCATAGCAATATTATAAAATTGATATTGTACTATAAAATAAAGATAAATGATGCCTTCTCTTCCCTCTCTTAAGAAAAGAATTAAAATACTGATTGTTGGCCAATGCAAACACAACTCTGGTATCCAGAGTTACTTGCTCAGGCAGGACAGGCTGCTGGGTTCTTGACCTCAGTATCTTTCAGCACAGTGGAGATCTTCCTCACGGTTACTGGAGTCCCAGAGGATGCTGGTTTCCAGGCACAGGCTGGTCTGGTCCCTAATACCTAAAGATCCCTCAGCCAGTAGATAGCAATTTGGGGTACAGCCCATAGGCAGAGGAACCAAATAGTCCAAGAATTGGGTGCTCACGTTTTGGTCCCTCCTTGTGTAACTTAAGGTGTCCTGCTACCTGTGACCTTATCCTCTTTTCAAGACCAAAGCTGATACTTGGCTTCCCCCATCACCACTGTTGACACAAGCAGGTTCCTAAGGATTATTTCCAGGCAAAGAACACCGCTTTGTCGTTCTTGTTCCTGTGAGACTCAGACACGGGCTCCACCTGGAGAGTCCTGAGTTCCTCCCTGCACCTGAAACTTCACTCTGTTTTTCACTCCCCAACCCCTTCTCTCTCTTGTCTTTCTTGGCTACCTGTTTGCTTATAGCTTCACCAGCTTTCCCAGCCAGCCTCTGCACAGATGCTGCAGCCCTCCTGTCTGTGTGGCATGAAGATTCGTTTTTGAAAAAGAAATTACTGGAGGAGGAGGTTCACCTCCTGCTAATTAAGAGCAGTTCATTATTCAGCAGGGATTGCCAGAAAGTCTCAAAAAGAAGATGGATGGGAGGATAAAGGCTTGGGGTTTGGGGATGAGCGTTAAGCAAGGCAGAGGGTGGGGGTAAGGGGAGAAAAGGAAGGAGGAGGGAAGTGATGAGACAGTCTTCCCTGACTGGCTATCTCCCATGCCTGACACAGATTATCTGAAAACTGCCTCCTGGCACTGGCTTGATAAAGACCAAAGGGTCTCCCATGGAAAGGATACACATGCTTGCACGAAAGCTGGTAGGTGTTTTCAGTGAGTCCTTCTTCATTGAGCACCACGGTGATCTGCCCACAGGCGGCACCGATGTCGTCTGACGAGCTCTTGGTGGGCATCCCACTGACTCTGTAGAACTGTTGGGGGAAAGGCACAGAGCAACACCATTCTCGGAACACAGGGAAGCCACTGCCAGGCTTGGGAACATAGTCTTTACTGTTTCTCTGGTGGTTTAGAACTTGAAACACTTTTTCCCATAGGGACAATGCTACTGTGGGGTTTTTCTAGGCAAAACCCCACTGCACCCCAAATGGACCCAAAGCACATCGCTAATTGTAACTACCTAACCTCCCCACCAAGGAATCCTTTGAGAGGAACAGTTTTTATCCAGAGCTGTAAGTGCAGACTCACACGGGAAGCTTTTTAAGTTCACCCAGAGCCTGACCCTTCCCTTTATTTTCCTGGAGACTCTGATTCATAGATCTGGAGTAAACCCAGGCATCTATGTATCTTTTAATTAATTTTAATATAATTAAAATTTTAATATAATCCCAAGTGATTATACGGAGCACACAGACTAATCCCATTAGAAGGCAATGCATCTGGAACCCTAATTTAAGACACTGCGTCTCCCCAGGGCTGCGGATGAGGAGTGATTCTCAATATTAGCAGCACATTAGAATGTCTCAGAAGCTCCTTTAAAAATAAAATATGTATTTTATAATAGCTTTAAACTTAAAGATACGAAGATAGTACAGAGTTCCCATACCAAGTTTCCCCTATCAGTGACATCTTACATCAGTATGGTACATTTGTCACAATTAATGAGCCAACATTGATACCTTATTATGAAATAAAGTGTATACTTTATTCAGATTACTTGGTTTTCCCTTAATGTCCTTATTTTGTTTCAAAACCCCACCTAGGATACCATTAATTATCGTGTCTCCTTGGGCTCCTCTCGGCTTTGGCAGTTTCTCAGACTTTGGTTTCCTTCTGACTTTGAGAGTTTTGGAGGCAGGTATTTTGTAGAATGTCCTTCACTTGGAATTTAGCTGATGTTTCTTCTCTTGGTTCCGCTGGGGTTATGGTTTTAGGGAGGAAGATAACAGAGGTGAAGTGCCATTCCTACCACACCGTAGCAAGGGTACATGCTGTCAACATGACGTCCCTGTTGATGTTGACCTAGATCACCTAGCTTGAGGTAGTGGTTGTCAAATTTCTCCACTATAAAGCTACTCGTTCTTTTACTTCTTTTTATACTGTACTCTTTGGAAGGAAGTCGTCATCACCATGAGCAGCCCACACTTAAGGAGTGGGAGGTTATAAGTTATGCTCCACCTCTGTATTAGTCAGCGTTCTCCAGAGAAATGGAACTGATAGGATATGCATGAGTGTGTGTGTGTGTGGAGAGAGAGAGAAAGAGAGAGAGAGAGAGGGAGGGAGGGAGGGAGAGGGAGAGAGAGACTCATTTTAAAGACTCGGGGCTGGGAAGTCTGAAACCTGGAGGGCAGGCTAGCAGGCTGTAAACTCTGCAAAGAGTTATTTCAGACTTAAGGCAGTATTCCTTCTTCTCAGGGAAACTTCAGTTTTTGCCCTTAAGGCCTTCGACTGATTAGCTAAGACCCATCCATATTTTCAAGGGTATTTTCTTTCCCTTAAAGTTAATCATATCTACAAAATACATTCAAAGCAACACGTAGACTGGTGTTTGATCAAACAACTGGACGCCAGAGCCTAGTCAAGTTGACACATAACATTTAACCACACAAGCTTCTTAAGGGTGGAGTATCTACATAAATTATGTGGAATTCTTCTGCATAGGAGATTTGTCTATTCTCCTCTATTTATTTATTTATTTAATTTATTTATCTATCCAATCATTTATTTATGTCACTATGGACGCATGGATATTTATTCTATACTTTGAGTTATAACCCAATACTATTACTATTACTACTACCTACCATTGTGTTGCTCAAATTGTTTCAGCTTTGGCCATTGGGCTCTCTTTCAGTTGGCTTCTGTGTCTCTTTGACATATCCCCATCATTGTGGGTTTTTTCTTGTGTGGGGCTTTTTTTGAGCACTACCTTACTTTCTGACACTACAAGATACTCCAGGCTCATATTGTATATTCCCTGCCAAGATCAGAGTCAGTCATTTTTCCAAGAAGCACTGCTTCCCCTTATTATAGAATGGTATTAGAAACCAAGATCTGGGTACTCGGTGTGCTCAATGCTACTGAGGTGTCATTGCTTCTAGGGCTTCGTAGCTGACAGAGCAAGGAAATATGTCTGTATATACTAACCCATGTGTATACACATATCTATAAATATTTCTATATGTATCATCTACATTAAGATACATTAAGCTAAACATGAGTTCAGATTGATGTCTTTGACTCATCCATTACTACATAGATAATTCTAGCCTTTTCTCCTTGCTTGTGTGTAAGCTTCTGAGAGTAAGAAATGTAGCTCCCACAATCGGTCTTCCATTTACTTGGTAGTCCAATTCCAGAATACATGTATAGTGGTATCAAAATAGTTAACCCATAGCCCTGAGGGAAACTACTTTATGAACTAGCATACAGTGCTTATGTATAGTTCCTTTTGCTTTTAATCTTAGATCTCCACTCATTTCAAAGTGACTTAGGTCAGCACTTCCCCCCACCCCCTTCAGTGAGGTTATTTCATACATTTGTAATACAGTTGAACTCTTTTGTCACAGTCTACATTCTATCCTGGCATTCCCTGACATCCTAAATGATTTCTTAAGATTTGCATGCATTAAGGTTTACCCTTTCCACTATAAAATACTGTTGATTTTGACAAATGCATAGTGTCATGTATTCACCATTAGAGTATCACACAGAATAACTTCACCACCCTAACAAATAACCTGTGCTTCACACATTCAACCCTGCTCCCTCCCTAACCCCCTGGCAACCACAGATCTCTTTAGCATCTCCATAGCTGTACCTTTTTCAAATTGTCATAGAAGTGGAGTCGTGTAGTATGTAGCCTTTTCAGGCTGGCTTCTTTCACTTAGCAATATATATTTACAATTCATCCAAGTTTGGCATGGCTTAATAGCTCATTCCTTTTCCTAGGGAGCTTTTAAAACAAAGCAGATGCACTGGCTCCACTCCCAGAGTCTGACAATTAGTGTGGGGCTTGGGCGCTGGGGTGAGAATGGAGAGTGCTCATCCTTTGCTTCCTCTTTACCTCTGGCACAAGTGTGCACGCACGCACGCACACACACACACACACACACACACACCATCAGTTTAAGTCACAGATGGCTGTGCCAATGGCTCGAGGCAGGGGTTTTTATGTCTCTGGTGGTTGGAAAGAGGATGACAGGAGATGACAAGATGTTGAAGACTGGTGGGGTGGGGTCAGGTGAGAAATCTCCAGGATGTTGGTGCTTAAAGACTTGGTTGTCTTGCCAGGTTAAGTCTCTTCTTCCTGGTTCACTGGCGAACAGAGGACATACAACTCTTTTCTTCCTCTCCTGTCCCTAAACAAGCACAAGAGGTTTGGGAATTTTTTAGAGGGGGGATGGCTCTGGTTTTTGTTGGAGGAAGTAGGAGCAAAAATGCTCCCTCCTGTGTTCACCTTAAACCTTATAAGAAAGGCAGTTGTCTCAGAGATTACACACGGCAGGGCAATTCCAGAATTTCACTATAGAAATTGGATTCCAGGCTCTAGGAAAAGAGTAAGATGGAGCCTACAGAGATGGGGGGTGAAGTCAAGGTCTTGTTTACTCAGTCCTGTCCCATAAAGAGAGGGAGAACAACAGTCCAGAAGTTCACTCTTCTCTTGCCACTCACACTGGTTTTTCCATTTTACATCTGGCTGTGTACCAAAAGACTAGTAGAGGGCAGAGATGTGGAATTTCTGAAACCACTGGGTCTTCCCTGGAGCCCTTGGTATGCAAGTTTTTAAGAGATGTGCATGTGTTAGACACAGATGGATACTCCTAATATCTGAATCTGGAATCCATCTAACCAGAAAGTATGTCCATTCTGAGTTTTAATTTTAAGAGAGTTAAAAAAAAAACTACTAGGGATTTTTTTAAATTCCAGGGAAGAATATTACAGTTAGAATACATTTAGCACACTTTTTTTGTCTTCTACTTCTTCAAATGCTGTATAATGGTAACTGCTGTATAATGATAATGATAACATCATATCTTTATGATGAGGCATTGGTTGATTCTAAAGTGTTTTATGTGCATAAAATATGACTTTTATTTGCATTAGCAGAGATCAAGTGTTTTTGTTATTGCTGATTTTTTACTAATCCTTTATATGTTGGCAATTGGAGTATGCTAGACATGGTTACTTTCAGATAATCTGATGCCAGGAGAATCCAGGGAGCAGTTGGGCTGACAGAACCAAAAAAGACTTATCTATTTTTGAAAATGGATGCAAATGTGTAAGATGAGACCATTTTTCCATGTACCATAAATGATTTCAAAGAATGAAAGCAGCGCTTCCCCTATAGTAGAAGCCATGTAAACTGAGCAGATCTCTGCAAAGTCTATCCTCATTACCCCATAGTAGAGGCCATAGAACGAGGGCATGATGCCAAAATCCATGGAATCTCTAGCCTTGATTCTATTGAGAACAACAGTGAAGGGATGTAAGGATATGGCATTTGTGGGGATGGGTGAGGGCTGCAGCTTGGAAAGTATTGGGTTGGTCAAAAAGTTCATTTGGATTGGTCAAAAACCCCAAATGAACTTTTTGGCTAACCCAGTATTTCCTGCCATGGTATCTAACAGAGCCTTGGTGGTATTTCCCCCCAGTTATTTGTTTAATTTTTTTTTAATGAAAGAATTTAAAATTCTCTCAATTCCATTCAAATTTTACTACTCAGGGCTAAGTGGACAAAGTCATTATTGAGAATGTTTAAAGGCTTCTTAGGACTGCAGTGCTGAGACAAGCCAACTCTAACCAGCAGTTCTCAAGCTTGGCTGTGTGTAGAAAAACCTGGGCAGCTTGTAAAAACCTCCATCCCCAGGCTGCACCCTGGGCCAATTACATCAGGCTTTCTGGGGGTGGGGCCTGGGCAGCAATATTTTTGGAGGCTCTCCAGACACCAGGTGATTGCAGTGGTCCACTAACATTAGGAACCTCTTTAATAGTCCAATGATTCTCAGCCCTAATTGTAGATTGGAATCACCTGGGGGAGATTTAAACATATACTGATACACGAGCCCACTTTCAGGGGCTCTAATTTAAGTGGCCTGGGGTGAGGTTGGGGCAGCAGCTAGGGTTGAGAATCCCTGCTATCAAACTTAGATTTTACAGAATGCTTTCAAATACTTTATCTTTCCTAAAAATATTTGAGATAGATATTATTATCCCCAATTTACCTTTGAAAAAACGGAGACTTAGAAAAAGTGATTTGCTTAACATGACAATTGGTACAAAATGAAACCAGGAATCAAGCGCAAATTTTGATGCCCTTTGCTGCTATGCTGTGGTTGCCATGTGTTAATAAAAAAAATCTTTTTGCAAGTTGGATCGTATTTCAAATGCACTAGGATTCTCTATGACAACCCCTATTTCTTTTTTAAAGGTAAATGTTTCTTTAAAAAGTAAATGATTATATCACCTCACACCAGTTAGAATGGGCATCATCAGAAAATCTACAAACAACAAATGCTGGAGAGGGTGTGGAGAAAAGGGAACCCTCATGCACTGTTGGTGGGAATGTAAATTGATACAGCCACTATGGAGAACAGTTTGGAGGTTCCTTAAAAAACTGAAAATAGGACTACCATATGACCCAGCAATCCCACTACTGGGCATATACCCAGAGAAAACCATAATTTAAAAAGACACATGCACCCAAATGTTCATTGCAACACTCTTTACAATAGCCAGGTCATGGAAGCAACCTAAATGCCCATTGACAGAAGAATGGATAAAGAAGATATGTTACATATATACAATGGAATATTACTCAGCCATAAGTAATATTCCATTGGGTCATTTGTAGAGATGTGGATGGACCTAGAGACTGTCATACAGAGTGAAGTAAGTCAGAAAGAGAAAAACAAATATTGTACATTAATGCACATATGTGGAATCTAGAAAAATGGTTCAGATGAACAGTTTTGCAAGGCAGAAATAGAGACACAGATGTAGAGAACAAACGTATGGACACCAAGGGGGGAAAGCGGGGGCGGGGGGGATTGGTGGTGGTGGGATGAATTGGGAGATTGGAATTGACCTATATATACTAATACATATAAAATAGATAACTAATAAGAACCTGCTGTATTAAAAAAAATTCAAAAAGAAAGTAAATGATTAGCTTCTAATGTAATGTCTGGATCTTAAATCATTGCACTTTTGATGTGCTATCTCTGTAAACAGTCTCAAATACTAGCAATGGATGTAGGTGAGTCTGACTGAGTTGGGAAGGAAGTGGAGAGAGGAGAGGCGTTGGGAAATCTGTCTCTGGAACCTTCTTCTGGCAGTTTTTGTACTCTTAATTTGAGGAGGAAATGGTAAAGGCAGAGAGCTGTGTAGACCTAGAGGGCAGCCATCTTTTGGTAATGCGAACCGGGAATTCCAACACAGCGGGTGGTTTCATCCTTTCAATATTTGAGAATTGGGGCAGTGAGAAAGAATGAAGATGACTTTCCCTCCATACCCAGGGGAGCACGTATTTATAATCTAATTGATAAAAAGTGTAGCAATGAACTCGTGGTTCCACAGAAAAGAATCTTAATACCATAATGCTCAAGAAAAATTAGTAGTGAAAAAAATCGTTCCTTCCCATCTGAAGGGTTAGATTCTTTGAATGCCTCACTATAGGAGAATTCCTGGTTAAGGATCTTAAAATTATATGGATAATAATCTTGGGGCAACTCTATTCCCAAGTAACTTCATAAAAGTCCTTATGAATACTTTTACATTCATTAAAGTAATACAGACAGTATGCTGAAAAAATAAATCCGTGTCTTTCTATAACTTAAACTAATAATAATAGATCTGTACAGTTATTTTCTATCCCTTTCCTGCTAGAGAATGGTAGGAATTCCCGCTCTGAAAGTTTCATGAAATACTTATAAAATCAGATTGCTATGTTGCCATAGGAAGAGCCCTTCTTCCCAGGGCTGGCTCTCCATCTGATTGTCTTCCTTATTTTATTTATTTATTATTATTATTTTTTTAAAGTAGTTTTTAAAATTTCTTTTATTTTTGGCTGTGTTGGGTCTTCATTGCTGCACGCGGGCTTTCTCTAGTTGCAGCGAGCTGGGGCTACTCTTCGTTGCGGCGCACGGGCTTCTCATTGCGGTGGCTTCTCTTGTTGCAGAACATAGGCTTTAGGTGTGCAGGCTTCAGTAGTTGTGGCATGTGGGCTCAGTAGTTGTGGCTCGCGGGCTCTAGAGCACAGGCTCAGTAGTTGTGGTGCACGGGCTTAGTTGCTCCACGGCATGTGGGATCTTCCTGGACCAGGGCTCGAACCCTTGTCACCTACATTGGCAGGTGGATTCTTAACCACTGCGCCACCAGGGAAGCCCTGTCTTCCTTATTTTATGAGTTAAGAGTTGCTGGCCTCTACCTCTGAATTTCTGTTAAGGTCCTAGAGATTTAGAGTAACTTTGATGTGACAGATCTTCCAGGAAATTTTTCATTTGACATGTTTTCCATGGCTGTGCAGTATGTCTTACATTCCCTTTCTAGGACATAGGTTGATTACACAGCCTCAGCTCTGCCTGTGAGACCCTCACCCATAGCACATCTCAGCAACCATCTTCGCAATGGGAGCATGGTTCTGAGTCATAGATATTATTATCCCAATTTCCTTTATTTCTCCTTAGACTTTCTTGTTTTTTTATCTCTTCACCTCTCTTTCAGTGAAAGTTTCAGTACTCAGTTTCCTCTTTTCCTAACTGCTCCCAGCAAAAGGGATTTCATGGATACCAGAAACAAAATTCTAGAGCAGTGCTGTCCAGTGGAAATATAGATTGGACAAAATTAAAAGTTTTCTTGTAGCCACACTAAAAAGGTAAAAAGAAACACATGAAATAATTTCACCAATACATCCAGAGTACTATCATCTCAGCATATAATCGATAGAAGAATTATTTTCTTATGCTGTCTTTGAAATCCAATGTGTATTTTAGACTTACAGCACCTCTTATGTCATAATTTAAGTGCTCCGTAGCTACATAGGCTAGTGGCTACTGTATTGGATAGCATACTTCTAGAGGTTTTAAGGAAGAAGATCTATAGAAGGAAATGACACTTCAGAATTTTGTGGAAGGGAAATTTGTAGTTCAGTAAGAACTACTTTACCATAAATGTCAGCCTACTTTTTTGTTTGTTTGTTTAAATTTATTTATTTATTTGGCTGCATTGGGTCTTTGTTGCTGCGCGCGGGCTTTTCTCTAGTTGCGGTGATCGGGGGCTACTCTTCATTGCAGTGCGTGGGCTTCTCATTGGGTGGCTTCTCTTGCTGCAGAGCAGGGGCTCTAGGCGTGCAGGCTTCAGTAGTTGTGGCTCACGGTCTCTAGAGTGGAGGCTCTGTAGTTGTGGCGCACAGGCTTAGTTGCTCCGCGGCATGTGGGATCTTCCCGAACCAGGGCTCGAACCCATGTCCCCTGCATTGGCAGGTGGGTTCTTAACCACTGCGCCACCAGGGAAGCCCTGTCAGCGTGCTTTTAATGGTGATCTTTTAAACTTATAGACCACGTATAGATTCTCTTTAAAGCTTATAATTTTTGCAAAACTTTTAAATCTGTGGGTTTTCTCTTCCTTTTCTCCTGGTTTTCCCCAGTGATATCTACGATACCAATGATAGGCCTATAAACAACGTGTGCATGGAAAAGTGTAGGGCCAAACGTGGCTTCCAGAGACAGAGAACTCGACCAGGTGAATGTTATAAGCAAGTGCTTGGAGATATGAATGTCTTAATTGGAGATACTTACTTGAAAAATAAATTGAATCCACACATTGTAAACATGATAGCCAAATAACCCACAGCACCAAATGTACAGCTGACTTTTTGGATGAGAAGAAACCATTTGTAGACCAATCTGTGGAGAAGCATAAAACACGATGTACTATAAAATATTTTACCTTTTTAGAACATTGTTATAAGTCAATTTTTAGTTTCTAAAATACTATTCATTATGCAATATACAGAACATGAGTATATTATATCAGCTAAACCCCGTAATTATCTCGAGTTTTAATACACTATCAACAAGCAGTATATAAACAGTACTATCATGCACATGTGTTTCTGTGTATATGCATATGTAAATTCATTGTGACTTATTTATGTTCCTCATGTAAAAATGGCCTTCAGGACTGGTTATTCTATATGGGACCCTGCCTACCTTCCTCTCCTCCTTTTCTCATTTGGCCCTAGGTTAGCTTAGAGTGGTTTTGGCAGGAGTACTTTGGAGGCAAGCAAAAGATGGGAAGAGAAGTCTAGAGGGGAGACCCCTGGGAGTTTCTCTTCCCTCCTGCTGCCCCAGTCCCAGGGCAGGCATCACCAGCCCTCACCCCATCGCCTCTCCACTCAAACAGCACCCCACTCCCCAGTCCTGGAGCAAGAGTGCTTCAGACTTGTTTTTTCTTTTATGTGGATGGGTCCTTTGTGTGTCCCACACTCACCATGATGACTTCTAAGGCCTTTCCCTCTTCCCACAGGGTCCAAGTGGAGAAGGAAGAGTATAGAGAATGAGGGCAAGAGTGGAGATGATCTAGAAGGAGCTGTGTACCCTGTTCATTTCCCTCGTTCCAGGCAGTAAAAGCCCTTAGAAAAACTACAGAAAGGCCACACGGCTGCTTTGTGCCTGAGAGAATGTGGGAAGAGGATGGAGGCACAGCTCCATTCCTGGGACACCGTGGTACAAGGACTCTTCCCACTGGAACAAGAAGAGAGGGTGGAAGGAGGAGGGCTGGGGGCCCCAGGCTTGGTGCCCAGAGATGATAGGGGGTGCTGGCACATTGCACACAAGGGTGAACAATGGCAGGGGGCCCTGTTTGCCCTCAAACCTTTCCCTCCTCATCCTCTTGAAGCCCCTCTCCTGCATTTCACCCCAAACTTCATTCAGAGTCTCCCTCGAAAGACCTGGCCCCCCCTTTTACCTCTGACCCCTGGAGCCCTGTCCCCAACTCTCACCTTCCCCAACTTCCTCCCTGTTGGAGACATTGCACCAAATGCTTATGTTCTATGGTATTATTGATGCAATGTTTCAGCGTTATTTATTTTTTAAAAATTTTTATTGAAGTATAGTTGACTTATGATATTTTATTAGTTTCAGGTGTACAACATAGTGAGTTGACATTTTTAGGCATTACGAGATGATCACTACCATGAGTCTGGTTACCATCTATCACAATACAAAGTTATTACTATATTATCAACTATACAGGCAGACCTCGCTTTATTGCACTTTGCAGATACTGCAGGGTTTTTTTGGTTTGTTTTTACAAATTGAAGGCTTGTGTCAACCCTTTGTCGAGCAAGTCTATATGTGCCATTTTTTCCAGCAGCATTTGCTCACTTTTTGTCTCTGTGTCCCATTTTGGTAGTTCTTGCAAGATTTCAAACTTTATTATTATTATATTTGTTATGATGACCTGTGATCAGTGATCTTTGATGTTACTATTGTCATTGTTTTGGGGCACCACAAACCACACCCATGTAAGATGGCAAACTTAATTGATAAACGCAGTGTGTTCTGACTGTTCCATCAACTGGTCATTCCTCCATCTCTCTCCCTTTCCTCAGCCCTCTCTATTCCTTGAGACACAACAATATTGAAATCAGGCCAATTAATAACCCTACAGTGGTCCCAGTGTTCAAGTGAAAGGAAGCCTTGTGTGTCTCTCACTTTAAATCAGAAGCTAGAAATGATTAAGCATAGTGAGGCAGGCATGTCAAAGCAGAAGCAGGCTGAGAGCTAGGCCTCTTGCACCAAACAGCGAGCCAAGTTGTGGATGCAAAGGAAAAGTACTTGAAGGAATTTAAAAGTGCTGCTCCAGTGAACACAGAAATGAAAGTGAAACAGCCTTATTGCTGATGTGGAGAAAGTTTTTTTGGTCTGGATAGAGGATCAAACCAGCCACTACATTCTCTTAAGCCAAAGCCTAATCCAGAGCAAGGCCCTAACTCCCTTCAATTCCCTGAAGCCTGAGAGACGTGAAGAAGCTGCAGAAGAAAAGTTTGAAGCTAGCAGAGGTTGGTTCATAAGATTTAAAGAAAGACGCTAGCTCTGTAGCACAAAAGTGCAAGGTGAAGCAGCAAGTGCTATCGCACCAGGAAGCTGCAGCAAGTTATCCAGAAGATCTAGCTAAGATAATTAATGACGGTGGCTGCACTAAACAACGGATTTTCAATGTGGACAAAACAGCTTTCTATTGGAAGATGCCTTCTAGGACTTTCACAGCTAGAGAAGAGAAGTCAATGCCTGGCTTCAAAGCTTCAAAGGACAGGCTGACACTCTTGTTAGGGTTTAATGTAGCTGGTGACTTTAAGTCGAAGACAATGCTCATCTACCATTCTGAAAAATCCTAGGGCCCTGAAGAGTTATGCTCAGTCTATTCTGCCTCTGCTCTATAAATGGAACAACAAAGCCTACATGGCAGCACATCTGATTGCAACAAGGTTTACTGAATACTTAGTACCCCTCAGAAAAAAAGATTCAAAATATTACTGCTCATTGACAACACACCTGGTCACTCAAGAGTTCTGATAGAGATGGACAATGAAATTAATGCTTTTATGCCTACTAATACAATATCCATTCTGCAGCCCATGAATCAAGGACCAATTTCAATTTTCAATTCTTATTTTTTAAGAAGTACATTTCATAAGGCTATAGCTGTCATAAATAGTGATTCCTCTGATGGATCTGGGCAAAGTAAATAAAAAACTTTCTGGAAAGGATTCACCATTCTAAATGCCGTTAAGAATACTTGTGATTCATGGGAACAGGTAAAAATATCAGCATTGACAGGAGTTTGGAAGAAGCTGATTCCAACCCTCATGGATGACTTTGAGGAGTTCAAGACTTCAGTGGAAGAAGGAACTGCAGAGGTGGTGGAGATAGCAAGAGAACTAGAATTCGATGTGGAACTTGAAGATGCGACCAAATTGCTGCAATCTCCTGATAAAATTTGAATAAACGAGGAATTGCTTCATGTGGATGAGCAAAGAAAGTGGTTTCTTTAGATGGAATCTTCTCCTGGTGAAGATGCTGTGAAGACTGTTCAAATGACAGCAAAGGATTTGGAATATTACATAAACTCAGTTGATGAAGCAGCAGCAGGGTGTGAGAGGACTGACTCCAATTTTGAGAGAAGTTCTATGTGGGTAAAATGCTATCAAACAGCACCACATGCTGCAGAGAAATTGTCCATGAAAGAGTCAGTTGATGAGGCAGACTTCACTGTCTTATTTTAAGAAATAGCCACAGCAGCCTCAGCCTTCAGTGGCCACCACCCTGATCAGTCAGCAGCTACCAACATGGAGGCAAGACCCTCCGCCAGCAACAAGAGTACAACTTGCTGAGGGCTCAGATGATGGTTAGCACATTTTAGCAATACATATTTAAAAATTAAGGTATGTACATCGTTTTTTTGAATATATTTCTATCGCACACTTAATAGGCTACAGTATAGTGTAAGCATATATAGTGTAAACTTTTATGTGCACTGGGGAACCAGAAAACTTGTGTGACTCACTCTATTGTGAAATTCACTTTATTGCAGTGGTCTGGAACCCGACGCAAAAGGTATGCCTGTACATTGCATTCCTGTAACTTACTTACTTTATAACGTGAAATTTGTACTTCTTTTTAAAAAAATTATTTAATTTATTTTTAATTTTGGCTGCCTCGGGACATAGCTGTGGCACATGGAATCTTCATTGAGGCATGCAGGATCTTTTGTTGAAGTGCGAGGCCTCTTCATTGTGGTACGTGGGCTTCTCTCTAGTGGCGAGCAGGTTTTCCTCTTCTCTAGTTGTGGTGTGCAGGCTCCAAGGTGTGTGGGATCTGTAGTTGTGGCATGCAGGCTTAGTTGCCTCGAGGTATGTGGGATCTTAGTTCCCCAACCAGGGATCAAACCTGCGTCCCCTGCATTGTAAGATGGATTCTTTACCACTGGACCACCAGGGAAGTCCCAAAGTTTGTACTTCTTAATTCCTTTCACCTATTTCACCCATTCCTCCACTCCCTTCCCCTGTGGCAACCACTAGTTTGTCCTCTGTATCTATGACTCTGTTTAGTTATGTTTTTTCATTTGTTTGTTTGTTTTTACATTCCACATATAAGTAATATATGGTATTTGTCTTTGTCTGACTTTTAAACTTAGTATAACACCCTGTAGGTCCATCCATGTTGTCCAATCAAAATGCAAACTTCGATAATTTCAATGGCTGAGTAATATTCCATTGTGGGTATATACCCTATCTTCTTTATCCATTCAGCTATTGATGGACACCTAGGCTGCTTCCATATATTGGCTATTGTAAATGCTGCCATGAACATGGGGGAGCACACATGTTTTTAAATTAGTGTTTTTGTTTTCTTTGGTTAAATACCCAAAAGAGGAATTGCTGGGTGGTAAGGCAATTGTATTTAAACATTTTTTTAAAGAACCTCCATACTGTTTTCCATAGTGGCTCCACCAGTTTACAGTCCCACCCACAGTGCACAAGGGTTCCCTTTTCTTCACATTCTTGCCAACACTTATTACTTCTTGTCTTTTTGATAATAGCCATTTGATATGTGTGAGATAATATCTCATTATGGTTTTGATTTGCATTTCCCTGATGATTGATGTTGAGCATCTTTTCATGTGACTGTTGGCCATCTGTATGTCTTCTTTGGAAAAATGTCTATTCATGTCCTTAGCCCACTTTTGAAATGGATTGTTGGTTTTTGATAGAGTTGTATGAGTTCTTTATATATTTGGAGATTAACCCCTTATTGAACATATCATTTGCATATATCTTCTCCCATGCAGTAGGTTACCTTTTCATTTTTAATAGTTTCCATTGCTGTGCAAAAGCTTTTTA